AATACATTTCTTCAAGTTGATTCAATATTAGGAAATTATTTATTGCAGTTCTCACTCTCGTCCCTAAGTTTTGCACACCAGAGTATATCACATGTTCTTGGCGTTACACTGTAATGAATAATTTCCTAATATTGAATCAACTTGAAGAAATGTATTTCAGTTTTATCACCTGCCGTATCAAAGCTCGTCGACGGCGATGCCTCCCGACGGTCTGCCAAACTGTCCGGGTTTGAATCGACCGGATCGTAAACGGAACGAAGTCACTTCGTAAGTGCTATGTCTATCCTGTGATAAAGTTATACAAATTGTGCCTACGCTGATTGGGTGGGGGATGGGCAGGGGAGGGATCAGGCCATGCTCCTTTTTCTATCGTCTGCGCTCTCAGGCAAAGGTAGAGTGGAAAGTAGGAAAGCGAACGGCGAGCACTACTGCCTCACACCGCTGACGGCCCCAATTACTTTGCCCGATTTGTTTGCCGATACAAAACGAATGTAAACGCGCGGGGTGGAGGGGTGGGCTTATCGCAGTGGAAAGAAAAACCAAAAAATTGGCCGGAAACCCGTGATACTCTCCCTTGGACTAGATGGTGCGCGACGATTTTCCTTTAGAGTTGGCATAATGCCAACATCGGCTTAAGAATATGTGCAGACCGTGTCCTGCTATCAGCGCAGACAGATCAAGAGCAGAGGCAGAAATGTCCATTTAGGGGCGGACGGAACTGGATTGACCTGTAGGATCAGCTTTATCAGGCTTAGTTATGACTGATATCGTCGTAATAAGATTTAAGGGTGTTAGGAGGCGGAAATAATTCCCCCACCTCCTCCCATGACTGCGCTTTCTACCCATGAGTAGCTTCATATAGAAGACATCACCAGCAATAAATCACCGCTGATGGGCCCTTTCTCGCCTTCTAATACCGCCCCGACTGATTACGACTATATCAACTGTACGTCGCTTCTGGCGCGCTTTTGTCATGAATGCGCAACGCATCGTACCTGAGACACTCATCCCTCCCCATCCCTTTACTCCACACTGGAAGTAGATCAGATTACTTGAAGAACAAAGTTTGAAAAGTATGGATGTGGGTCAGGAGATTCGCGTTGCGGCGGCATGCAATTAGCTCTACGCGTTCGGCATCTCCTAGCTAACTTGGCTTGGCTTCCTGTAGCAACTTTCGCGTCAAGTCAGTCAGGTCCTGGAGAGAATACCGCGTTTGCAAACCACTTCCTGCACCACCCTCGCCACACGAAAAGAGCCCGATTTTCGTGACCCGCATACGGAAATTTAATTGAGATTTTTTTCTTACCAAGACTGGCTACTCTGCAACAGGCATATAGTATTACAATTACAGAGACTCGTTACCGTAATAAATTCGTAGGGCAAGAGTAGGTCTCGGTGACTGTATTAGCCTATTTCGTTATGAATATAGTAGCGATAATAGGGTAAGTGAATCGATGTGCATGAAAACATGTCGTACTTGCAGGTTTCTCGGTTCAACCCGCCGTGGAGCGCTGTTTTGTCGGTCTGGTAATTGGTTAGAAATTCTCGACGAACGAACTAGCCAATTAGAGACACGACGAGGCGGGATTGGCGATCAAGTACGAGGTACTCGACGTGAAGGCAGTCGATTCAGTGAGTTTCTGGAATTTTTGATGGAACATGGTCTCAAAGCACCGTTCGGGATATCGCCGGTATCGCTATAGCGCCGAGGCGCAATCTGTACCTACCAGGGCACGTCCTTGCGGCTGAAGAGCTTTTCGTGAAAATAGCGGCCTCAATTTTTTCCCCATTTATCCTCTGCTACACCCGCTACCGCATTCTAACTACCGCTTTATCGATGCTACTTTTCAAGCACCCTTCTCTACCACTCTCCAGTGCTACCGAAATTCCGCCAAAATTTTGCCTCTAGCGAAGGGGGGGAAAGCAGATCGTTCACCAACCAACTGCCAGTTTCAACTATCGTAAATAGCAGGTGTATGGTAGTTCCGTACGACCTGTCCCCCACTAGAATTCTTCCAGCGATGTGAAAAGCGAGCGTAAAATTGATCAGAGCCAATCCCAAAAGTTTCTCGGACTGAATGAACACACCCCCTCCATCCAGCGAACTATATGCGTTCTTTCCTCCCCCCCCCCGTGTTGGATTCCGCAGTCAGCTCAGAAGTGCTGGTGAGTCCCTACAAATCTATGTTGTAGTTCTCTCATTAACATGCATCGAAGAAGTTATTTTTCAACAAATCCACTTACCTTTGGTCGTCAATCCACAAATACGACCTCCCTCCCCCCCGCCCGCCCCAACATCCGTCATACGGATAAGAACAGGACACTAGGACACCTCAATCAACCTTCAGAAATAGGGAAATAGGAGTCACTGGAAATCGCCAGCAAAATGAGAAAATCATTAAAAGTGCGCGTTCAGCTCTAATACGCCTTCCTCCTGCGATGTACCCTTGACCCTATCTCCTGGAAAAGCGGAATCTACTCTTTACCAGTTCATGGCAAGGAAATGCGACCTAGGAGAAGAGGGCGAATCAGACCATCTAAGTCGTGGAGTGTTTCGTTCATCAATAATACGCTACTCTTTTTTTCTAATTTGACCAGTGAAATTCACGAGTGTTTTCATAAAACCAGATGATCGATGTTGATTGATTGTATTTTTAGGCGTACTCGAATTTCTCTCCGTCGCTATTGGATTAGTGAGTATACGAGGAGAAGTTTCACAAAGGTATTTATGTATGGATAGAGATGGAAAACTATATGCTGCGGTAAGTTTTGCCAAAATAATAAACGAAAAATAATGAATTAATAAAATTGCCTCAAGACCGGTGTGCATAGGAGAATGGGCTCGAAATCCAGTAAGAATTTTAAGGCTGCGTTTATACTTTGCGGCAGCGTAGCGTAGCGTAGCGCTTCCAGCGTACGGCGGCAAAGCTGGGAGAGGATGCATATCGATCTAGCGTTCACCAGCGTCACCAGCGTCACGCTAGCGTACGCTAGCGTACGCCAGCGTTTCTCCAGCGTTTCACCAGCGTTTTGCTAGCGTTTGCAGCGGCAGGGGAGTAGAGACTATGTGGCCGTAAGAGACGCGGAATCGACGTGTATTGTAGAGACTATGTGGCCGTCAGAGACGCGGAATCGACGTGTATTGTAGAGACTATGTGGCCGTCAGAGACGCAGAATCGATGTATTGTAGAGACTATGTGGCCGTCAGGACAGCGAATCGACGGTGTATTGTAGAGACGAGTGAGTGAAGACCGCCATCCGATGTGTTTTGTAGCCCTCCAGCTCTCCCATAGTCTCTACTCCCCTGCCGCTGCAAACGCTAGCAAAACGCTGGTGAAACGCTGGAGAAACGCTAGCGTACGCCAGCGTGCCGCTGGTGAAGCTAGATCGATATGCATCCTCTCCTCGGCACTGCCGCTGTTAGGGTGGTGGGGGGGGGGGGGGGGATCGCTGGAAGCGCCAGCTACGCTGCCGCAAAGTATATAACCAGCCTAATAGTAGAACAAAATGAAGACCTCCCTATTACTCAGGATCGGCCAAAAGATTGTGTATAGCTTTGCCAGGTCCAATATCTACTTGACGCAATCTATCGCGCCTCTGGATGACGTCACAAAACCGCACGGCTGCAGCATGCTTGTTGAAATAATAGCAAAGCAACTTGCTTATAGTTAGAAGAACAAACACTTGTCGTCGAACGACCCTTCTTAAGGCGCCGCAAGGCTCAACTTCCACATCGAGAATCATGAGGTCCCCATGTGTTCGGACTACAGCAGCTGGATTACGGAATCAACTACTGTAATCAAATGAGCCCTCTGTCACGGAACCGTATACTTACTGTATTCACATGCAAGGGTAAAGGTAAAAAGCTTCTGCCGCCGATCAATCCCTTGTTGGGATGCAGCATGGATTACAGCTCCACTCAAAGTTGTAGTGACTTATTGAATGTGATGTGACCTGTACAATAACAAACGTGGACCAGCAGTTGTAAGGCAGTTTATTATCCTCCCAAACTGAACTGGTACCATTACCGTCCCCGAAGAAAAGGCCTGGTGGGCTTGGGGGTAAGCTGATCCGAGATTTGATCCCAGACCGCATGCATGCTAAGCGGCACTTTCACTACCCCACCTCCGCCTACACCCGATTAACCTCTGTAAATTAGCAATTTTTTAAAATCACTACCCAACTACTCATATTACACTTGCGGAAAACAGGAGATAGAGATACACACCAACCCTGGCCTAGTCCGCGTGTCCCTTCCTCTCCAAGACTCCCTAGAACCTTAGGGCCTACCATAATAGATCTACGTCCCTCCAACAATTTGGCAAACGCTTCATTCGATTGAGGCCTCGTTATCCAAGGACCCTTCAATTGTGTTCTGAAAATTTTTTGGCTGTGGCCGTTTAATGAAATTTGACTCTTCACTTTGCACACCAACAACAATACTGCAAGGTGTCTGTGCTTTTAGCTATGTAAGGCCGGAACAAACAATTAACCGTTCCGTGCAACTACAAGTACATGAAAGGATCCTCGCTGCGCTTCTCCCATGTTACACATTACTTTACCTGCCAGCAGCCGGTTGATTGTGTGGAGTTTCTACACAGTTTATAACGAACTGGTCCATTGTAAGCAGCAAGACAACTCGACAGGAACGGACGAACCGTGGGTGTTATGAGCCGAATCGTTATTACTGATTCTTTTCAGCAATCCCAGGAACTTCATACGCGTGTTTGATTATTAATAGTGAATTGGGGCACTTTACTCGTTCGCTCAGCGATCTCGCGCCGGCGCACACTTGGTAAAGACGTGTAATCTTGTGTAGTGCCTTGTGGCAGTGCAAAGAGCCTCGTTTACATTTGACAAGAGTCTACAGGTCTCATGAAAGTGAGGTGTACAAGATGACATGAATAGTAAGAGAAAATGGAGAACTAGGAAACTGATCCCCCTTAGCCGAACAGCGCCAAATCTTGCTGATCCATATATGGGGTCTAATTGCTCGATGAATTCGAAATTGATTGTTGATCTGTGCGTTGGTCGGCCGGGCGGCTTTTTGATATATCACGAGCATCTGACGTGTCCCATCAGCGCCAAATCACGCAACACCTGACATCTTGGCTTTCCCGAGCCGCTCTTCGGGCATAGTTCAATTACCGAACAAATGGCCCACTTAAGATGTTCGAGAGGGCTGACTGGATTATCGGGATCACTTTCAATAGTGGGAAAGGTTAATAGACACGGGGGTAGAACTCTTGCTCGCGGTTCTGATCACCTGGTCACGCCGGAGTGTCATGAACGAGATCAGACGCCTCGTCAAATAATCTCCTTCGTGGAAAGAGGAGGCATGAGTGTTAGGGCAAAAACGCACTCGTATCCTTTCTCATTCCTAACCCACTCAAGTTACCCCGACAAGGGACCGGAACAATCCCGCTGGGGAAGATACATTTAAGAGAATACTAGTTAAAAACTGGAACTACTGCAGACTACTGTGAAGCCAACTTCTCGCAGAAAAGAAGGGTTTCATCCGTCACAGGGGCTCCCTTCCCCTGGCCTTAGAGAAAATCTTCAGCTCCATTCCGGCAAGTGCCGGCAGTCTCAATTTTCCAGACAAAGTCCTATGTGTGCCCCCCCCACTCTTAGCGCTGTAGTGGCCCATACTTGCCTTTGTAACCCGGATTCAATACGCGAACCCGGAAGATTCATGCGTGGTAACTCAGTGCTTTTTTAAAAAAGGTAGGAAAGTCTACCTCTTTCATATGCACTGATGCTCATTAAATCCTCCTCTCCTGTTATTGATTAGTGTTATTGATTTTACGCCCATTTGCAGGCACCACAGAATTACACGTCAGAATGTGTATTTCTCGAAGAAATGATGGAGAACTACTACAATCTATATTCGTCCTGTGCATATGGCACACGAAAACGACCGTGGTACGTCGCGCTGGTGAGTGAACTTCTTCAGAATTCCATGGCGATAACAATCGATTCATCGATTATCCCTCTTCGATAGTTATTGATTTCCTTCCCCCTTTATAGCGTCGAACGGGGCGAAGTCGTCGCGGAAAGAACGCTCGGCGACGGAGGAAAGCTAGCCATTTTCTCGTTGTCCACTATGACACACCACCACCTAGGAGCAACGGACAAATAGATCTGGGTAAGACTTTTGAGGGTTGAAAGGAACAGTCCACGCTGATCGTAGGGGCGGAGACAGTCAACTATTTGTGCTCTGCTTATTGGTGCGCCTTGCAAAGAGCGAAGCGGGCGCCAGAGAGAGAGATGTGGAATGGTTGTCTGTCTCCGCCCACAAACGGCGTGAACGTGTCTTTTAGCATTTCCTTTTCCGTTGATGTTTAAAATCTCTTCCTTCAGCCGTAAGGCACTGAAGTCTAAGAGTGCTTTCAGGTCGACTGCTAGCCCCATCATTGAAACATCAGCCACCTAAGGACCAGTCGTTTGTGCGACGACAAGCGTTAGCAAAACAAATGCAGACGCGAATCGAGCGCATACAAGATCGGGTGGCGAATCGTCGTCCGACTCCTACGGCAACGCGAAAACTCCGGAAGCGCAAGCGGCGGCGACAACAACGACTGGAACGTGAACAACGCCAACGACTACTCCGACAACAAGAATTGGAAAGACTTCGCCAAGAAGAGTTGGAACGAAAACGTCGGCCGAAGTGAGTTCACTTGCAGGATCTACCTAAAGGCGTGAGGCACAATAATTCGTTACTCGGTCTGGACACGGGATGCTAAAAATCGGGGGAAATGGCGAAAAAGCGAAGTGAAACGGTCAAAAACCTGCAAAAAAGCCTTTGTTCTACACGACTCGGAAGCAATTTCGGACGAGTTTCCCGTTGGCATCGTGCCAATAACCGCTACGGTAGATACGGCTGCAGGCATGTATCCATCTATCCATACAGCACCGCCGCTTCATATCAATCCTTTCGCTTCGTAATGTACTTTGCAAATGAAACGAAACAAGCAGCAGCCTCGCTCGCACATTTGTGGGCGGGTGGACGAGGTGGGCGTGCGGGTCTTTGCAGGTTGACAGGGCGCTATAACGGTGCCTTCCTCGGGAAGGCGCCAAGCAGCGCCTGTTCAGCAGCGCTGAAATCTGTCCAGCTAGGCGTATTCATCCTATACGTCTTGGGATCGATCGTGCCACTTGTATTTAACTGCCCTGCTAGGAAGAGAATCGCACGTTCACATCTCAATTTCCATTTATCAGCTGGCAAAGAAGGCACCGATCGCCTACGCGCTAAAAATCAATATTCTATGATAATCCATTAGAGCTACATCCACAGACATGGCATTGATTTTTGGATGAGCCAGAAATTTACACCCCGCCTCCACACGTACATAAAATCAGTGGCGACGTGCAAATCAACGTCGCTCACTATCGATATTTTCCCGTGAGACCTGCAGTTTGGAAAACTCGTCCAGTCGGCAAACTCGTACAGTGCTCAAAACAAAGGGGCCCTCGTTTAGAGCTTTTTTGATGGTTTTCGTGTTGCTTCATTAATAAGCGCGCCCCTACCGACCTCCTAGTTTGGAGCCGTTTTCATGTTGTGATCGTATCTCAAAATACACGCGCGTAGCAAAAATCAATAGTGCATTCTCTTTCACGGCAACTACGCTTATTCCCGGTTCCCGTTAGTTTGTTTCATTTACGCGCAACAGGGATCGGAAGTACATAGTGGACCTCAATTGTGCATAGTAAGACGCCCTCTCCTTGTACAAGTAGAAATAAATATTGGAGGATCGCAATTCACCAGTGCTAAAAATCGATATTGCACAGCATT